CAGCAGCAGCAGCAGCTAGCTGTAGCTAGCTGTAGCTAGCTGTAGCTAGCTGTAGCTAGCTGTAGCTCCTCTGGTTCAGCCTGGGTCTCTTCCTCCGGGAGGGGTGTCATAATATTTCAAAGAACAACAAAAAAGGTTAAATCGTGTCGTCTGGACCAGCTTCTTTCAGTGAGAAACGTTTTGTCCCCCATCCAGAGGACTTCCTCCAGGTCTCTCTTGTACCAGGTCTCTTGTAAATGAGTCCTTGAGGCTCAATGAGACTAACCTGTTTAAATAAAGGTTGAATGAAATGATTATGACAACAATCAAATGTTTTAGGCCAGATGGCCAATTTGCTGCTCACAGAAACAGCCTGAGGACACCAAGGCCCGGGGCCGGAGTGGGACTCATTTTCAGCGCTGGAGTTTGAGCCTCAGCGCGGCCCACTTTAGATCACGACCTATTATTATTAAAATCATGTCATTATAAGTTTACATCAGGGGCGGTTCTAGAATCTCCACTTTAGGGGTGCTTTGAGCCCCCAGTGCTGACAATGGCTCTTTGGCTTGAACATTGTGGTGACCATTGGCGTCAGAAGCTTTTCTTTAATGTGATGACACTGGTGGGGGGGGGGGGGGGGGTCCTCCCCCAGAAAATTTTTAATAAAGTATATGCCGTTTCCTGCATTCTGGTGTATTTTAACAGGCTGTTTAACATTTAGTTTTGCCTACATAAGTAACACTTGATTCAATAACTATTTTAGAGTTAATAGCACAACAAGAAGTAGCCTGACCAACAGCTCTCCTTGTGTGAACAGAGCACGCTCTGCTTCTCTCATGTATCCTAGCCACAGTCTAAGAAACATACCGTAGTGTAGCCTAGAGACTCAAAGACCGTTATTATCCACAAGCTGTCAGATTACTGAACTATCAATAAATAACACTGAACAACTGGCAATAACTTTGCACCAAGCCACATCTGTGACAACTAACATGACTAATATTAATTAGCTTGTGACACCTAATATTTTTATTGCTAATGCATCATATGTCTGTATCATGTATGTATCTACCTTACCATCATAATTCATTTCAATGTTACTCACTATCTGTACAATAATCTGTTACACAACCTGTGTAGTTTATATTAGTTATGCGCAGTATACATCATGTGATTTAAGCTTATATTACTACCTTGAAATACTTATTCATACAAATTCATTCTACTTGCACTGTTATATTCTACCATGTTGTTTACTATTTGTTCTTTAGGACCTTGTAAATATTGTATTTACTTTTTTACTTTTTGGTACTTTATGTTGTACCCTTATTGAAAGCTTTAGTATTTCTTGTTTGTTTGTTCATTGTTTTAGTGAGTCAAATCAGTTCTTTGAATATTTTATTGTACTGTTAACCTTGTGTTAACCTGCATATGACAAATAAACATAACCTGAATTAAGCATTAACCTTTAATTTAACCATTAAACATACAATGTAATTATGACAGAAAATGGAGGATTTACCTGCAGTTACTTTTGTAGAGATGAACATGTGGTAGCTACTTCCTGTTTATAACTTGTGATCAGCTGATGGGGTTGGTCCCCGGATTTTTACATGTTTTTCCAAACTCTGTTTAATTTTTGAAAAAGAATAAACTGTATCCCACCCTTTAAACTCTCAGGGTAACACGTGTCTGGATTGCCTGTTCTCCACTGACGCCGTTTAACCATTTTGTTCTGGTGATTTTTCACAAACCCCTCAGACTGTACAGCGTCCAGGCTGCAGGCAGCCCCATATCTGCAGTTAGGAAACACCTTGTATCTGTGACTTTCCTTCCCTCCATTGATTACAGTGACATCATTTACATGAACGCTCCTACAAGAACCCTGCAGATGTTGGATGCTGCAGATGTTGGATGCTGCAGATGTTGGATGCTGTCTATCATGGTGCAGTAAGATTCATAACTGGCTGTGATTATCGTACCCACCACTGCACCCAGTATTCACTGGTTAACTGGTCACCATTAACTTCACACAGACTCTCTCACTGGTACATTTTCATCTTTAAATCACTTCTTGGTCTGCTGCCTTCATACATCTCCTCCTACATGTCTCTGTGTGAGTGCAGCTACAGCGTGCGCTCTCAGGACATCATTACCTGCAGTGTTCCCTCAGTGAGGACTGAACCAGACAAAAGGACAACAAAGTCCATGCTCAATAATCCAGGTGTACAATCCAACATTTTTCAGTCAGGTCATCTGGACAGTTTCTTTTTTTTCTTTTTTCGTGCTGAAACGTTTCGCCTTCCATCCAGAAGGCTTCATCAGTCAAGGAAACACAACAAAACTGACTAGACAAAAGGACCTTCTCCTCCTCTGCCCCTATTTCCTGGAACATCTTACAAAAAGACCCGAAGCTCTCGACCTTTGACCTCTCTAAGTGGCTTCAAACATCTACTAAGTTCATGGCAAAAACCATCACAGACATGTTCCTGTTTCTAGTATTTTATATCGTTTTATAATGTAGCTGTTTTTTGTTTCGTTTTTGTATATTGTTTCTCTATTCACTTTTCATTTGATGTTTTTTATGATTGTGTATTGTTGTGTGCACCTCGTGTGTTATTTGTTTAAATCAGGTCTCTCTTGTAAATGAGTCCTCGAGGCTCAGTGAGACCAACTTGTAGAAATAAAGGTTAAATGAATGAATAGATAACAACACGGCAATATTTCAATATTTCTGAGACTTACTGAGTGAAGTACTGTAAAATTGACAAGTAAAAGTTTAAATTACAGTTTTTGGACCAATCATTATTAGAGTTTGGAGACTAAGTAGTTTTAAAATGGCAGTGATCCATTTTGATCATAGGTGAGTTAAGACTAATCATTATCTCCTCAGCTCTGTCCGAGTTCAGTCATTTCTCTAATCGGAGGTAACTGAAGGAGCGATCTACAACAGATATTAGTCATTTATAAGCTTCTGACAGAGATTAAGCATTAAACTCTCCTGTAACCTACGGGGGCGAATGGTCTAAACATGTGGCGTGTGAAATAGTCTCAGATCCGTACGGAACGTGTTTCACTTCACATTCAGCTCTCATCTGCAGAAATAGCATGTTTTATATAAAGTTTACAGCAAACTTTCAAAATAAAAGGACCAGATGAAGGTGAGTCACTTCTGGGAGGCTGGAGGATAAACTCAGTGCTTTTTGGGTAATAAAAGTTGTTTTTCTTTACAGACTGAATTCAGAGCAGGTATTCTAACTATACCTTTAAAAAGCAGGTGCACATTCATAAAGACTAAAAACATGTCCCCTTAAAGCATCTCTGAGGTTTTCCTCCCTGAATGAAAGCCACAACCATCAGTCAGTTTCACTGCTCACCTGTCTGCTACACAACACCAGCAACGCAGGGCAAAGGGCCGAGCTCAGTGCCCCCCCGAGCTGCTAAAGAGCCTCTGACCCTGGACATCCTTCTGTTAGAAACGTTTCTGGTCCGTTGGAAATGTTACCCAACAGAGCTTCAAGTTCAAGACGGAGCCGAGCAGAGAAGCTCAGGTCCAAATGGAGAAATAGAGAAAAGGTTTGAAAGCTCAATCATCCAGGTAGATAAATCACGAGCGAGGTTAACTCAGGTCATCTGGGCAGCTTCTTGCTTCATGTGAGAGACTTCATGAGTCTGAGGCCTGACACCCCACATCTGTAAATGGCACCTCCTTGATGTTTCAAGTCAGTCTGCTGTGGGCTTCACAGAAACAGGCTTGACACGTGCACAAAGGACCATCCGTCCAAAACAATCGACCATCATGAATAACAGTGAAATGTTTGTGCACGTGTAAAAGCAGTTTCTGGAAACTCCACATAGGGCCGGCAAGAAACACATCAAGGAGGCGCTATTTATAAGACAGACCTTGGTGGCAGGCATCAACTGAAGAAGTCTTTTGGATGAAATGACCTGATTTAACCCTTTTTTGTGAGAAATACAAACGTTTACTCAGGATTCCTACACTTTTCCCATTTTCAAATTCAAAAGTGATAAATTTAGACATAAAGTACTCCAACTCCAACATTTACTGTAAATGTACATGGAACTGAATGACGACTACGGGTAAGAATAAAGTGTTGCCCATTTATGCATTGGTCTAAATTTAGTGGTTTAAAGGGTTTTCAATAAATTAGTTTTGATTCAGAATGAAATAATAAACTCTGTAAGGTTGATGGAACCTGTAGCTTTCCAGCTGCAGAGAACACGAGAAACTATTTGCATTTATACTTCACAAAGTTAAGTTTTGTGAAGTTCAGTGTAAAAAAACATCATATACTTGTAGTTCTGTACAAACATTTTCAGTGACCCACCATCAGGAATCGCTGTAAGTCGTGTTTTGTGTGTGAAACTGTTAATTGTGTAAATTATTGTCAGGTTCTCTGTTGTGATGCTGCACAGAGGAGCTGCAGGAGGAGGACGTCTGCTGACCAGCTGACCTGTCATCAACTTTAGATCCTGTAGTTGTACAAAGTTTAGTGAGCAGTTTGTAGAGGTGAGCTGACACTTTATTTAGACGTTTCTCCTGTATTCCATGAGCACAGTGAGGTAAGAGACTTGTGGTTTGGTTCATGTGATTTTTCTTCAGGTAAGAGAAAATACAGTGGTTTGTTTTGTTTGTTGTTTGGCCTGAAGTTGGTAAAACTCCACAAAGTCAATAATTTAACTATTGTCAGTAAAATCACTGTTCTATCATATAATCTGACTTAGTGGCTGCTTGAGTGGTGCAGAAGGTGGAATCAAACATAATTAATAGCGTCCTGGCGGCGGTTATTGTGCTGGGGTGTAACATCACACAAACACTCCGTTTCTGGCCCTTCGCTCCAATTTTAGAACTCAGTGCGGCCCGCGAGTCTGAAAGTTGGCCCACCCCTGCTCCACACCATCTCGGCCCCGAACATCTAGTTTGTTTCTCACAGTAGAACAGAACAGTAGTCCAAGCTACGCAAGAAATCATTAAAAATGTTTTCTTCCTTTACTTTTCTGGAACAAAAGACCCATCAAGACATTAACGTATGCTCTAAACTTCTAGCAGCAGTTTGCTAGATGAGAAACACCAAAAGGTTAAAATATATTTACAGAAAAATAAAAAGAGTGCCCACGATACTGGATACACAAGTTATCTGTGGTTTAGTGCAGACAGCTAGCAGCAAGGAGCACTTAGCACCAAAGACAAAAAGAAGAGAGTCAGACTGGAGCTACAACAGATAGAATGAACTGACAGGAGGAGGAACGGTCTCAAGTTAATCGTCATAAAGTTCTCAAACAAACCTTTACTATCAGAGCATGAGACAGAAAAACATGCTTTAAACTGTGGAATCCTCCTGAAGACTGACTGACGTGCTCCTCCTGTTAAAAGACATTCAGGGATTTGAAACAAAAAGAACTGATCGTGCATCACTCTTGAGAGTTGAGGTGAATGTTGAGGTAAGTTCAGAAGAAACAGAGTAATTGCGCTTGTAAAGACAAAGACTTCCTGGTAGATGGAGCAGTGGTCCACGGGCTAACAGAACTGTCCAACAGGAAGCTCCCACTCTGTCCTGCACAAAGTTTAAGCACATGTCCTCTGAGGCCTCCCTCCAGTCTTCTCACCCATCTTCTTCACCTCAGGAACTCCGTTTCATTCTGGGATCTGCAGGGCCATCACTGCAGGTTTGGTCTCAAAGTACTGCTTGAAACGGAGCACAGCATATCTGCAACACAAACAGGAGAGCGAAGAGGGTCCAGAGTGAGAATTGGAAGAGATCTGACCTAGACGGGCTGCAACAGCTAGACTAGATAGTCAACAACATTTGTGAGGGAGTCTACAGAATGTCTCAACACCAGTGTTAAAGATTTTTATTCATCTTTATGTAACCAGGCAAATCCACTGAGAGCACGGATCTTTTCTGCAAGGTCCTCCTGGGCCTGAAAAGGCAGCCTAACATGCATGATGGGAGAACACACACTCAAACATAAAAACATGCAAAGTCCACCCAGAAAGACTCCAGGTCCAAATCAGGGATTGAACCCAGAACCATCTTGCTGTGAGGCAACAGAGTTAACCACTGAACTGTCATGCTGCACAAACATGAGCAAAACATCTCTGTTCAAAACTGCCTGGCTTTTTGAGAACTGTGATGTGTTTTGGAGCAGGAGGCAGGTCTCTGTAAATGTGTGACTGAAGGTTCATGATGACGACAATCATTCAGATCTTACTAAAAAGAAACACCATTTTAATAAATGGTTAATGGTAAATAGTCTGTTCTTATACAGCACCTTTCTACCTAATCAAGAAACTCAAAGCTCTTTACAACACAATCTGAGCCCTCATTTACCTCCTCTCAATCTACTCAGTGGAGTTACCACCTGAGTTATGGCCAAACCCCACTGCAGCCTCTCCTCTAAGGGGTATAACAAACTAAGCCTAAAGCCCCCAGTATACTGCCGCGTATGTCCATACGCAGAGGTACGCACGTACGTACACAGAGGTACGAGTGTACCCCCCAGGGCATGTCCGTGCAAAGCTCAAATTTTTATGACTGCATACGTGTACGCGGTGTCGCACAATAAACTGCCCAGCGACGGATTGTTTTGTATGTGACACCAATGTATTAAATTCCTCTTCTTCATCTCTGATCTGGCCTTTTCTTTTGTTTTTTTTGCCAAGAGGCAGTGATCTCTTCCTCCTCCGTTGATGCCATGACTGTAATGGTGAGAAATGGAGGAATTTGTCACGAGCAAATTAAACTCAGGTCCAGCGTGGCTGCGGGAGAGTCTGGAGATTTCCTGGTGGGCTGGTCTGATGTGTGGGCTGCAGGGCCAGCGTTCCCTGTTTTTTTTTTATTAGATTTTTTTAATTAACAACATATAAACACAGAACACCGCTGTGGCTGAGGCTGCCAGCGCTAGTTTTTTTTCCCCCAACCTGTCAATCAATCCAGTAGGCGTGTCAGCAAATGACCAATCGGCAACCTCAGTTTGTCCTGAAGGTAAACGCCCCTTGTCTGTGAAGCTGCTCTGCAGCTGCTTGGGGTGTACGCTGGAGTATCATGTCTGAACCCTCTGCGTACAGTACGCGTGAACGGACGTACGCGGCAGTATACTGGGGGCTTTACACTTGAGTATTACCCAGAGTAATTTTAGGTTAGTTCAACTTAGGCTGTGTTGAAGGTGACTCACCCAGATTTGTTAACGACCTCTATCTGTGAGCCACACCCTTATCTCACCCCGTGGCTCGCCCAACCTAGCAGCCAGAGTTGGATCGTCGTCCACAGGGAAACTCACATTAACGGCCATTCACCGTTGTTGTAGAACGGCAATTCTTACTGATGTGTTTCTTTTTAGAATCCAGGGATAGGATTCTAGGATGCTGTTTAATTACTCACAGCTGAGAAAACTGTTTAAAACCTCCCTATTTTGTTAGAATTTAACCAAGCTTCTTACATCCATGAACATGAGACGGTGACAATAATGATCCCAAACTTTGCTAATTTCTCATGCTTTGCATTTAATTAATGATTTGCAGAGGAACAGCGTTATAGCAGAAATCCATGCAGTGATTATTTGGTTATATAGCAAAGTCAGTAGTCAAAAGTCCACTTGTTACTTGAAATGTGTTACTATCGATTGTTGGTTGATGTCCGAGGGGCAAAACAGTTCAATTGTGTTGTAATTCCTTTGCTCCAATGAGCTGAACCAAAGAATTATAAATCCATAAAGCTCCGATGAACAAAAACAGAAAATTATAAATCCATAAGCTCCATTGAGGAAAAATAGAAATATATTAATCCTCACTCTGTTGAGCCAAAGTAAGATAAGGTGATTAGGTTCAGGGGAAGACTTTTGCTGCTCCGAGACCCCAGAGAATGCTCAGAAACCCAAGATCGTTACTGGACTCGATGAGCCGTCAGCCGACATCTCGAGTTTACCTCGTGTTCCCAAAATCCTCCGGAGTGAAATATCAAAAAATTAAGTTTAGTTGGAAAAATAAAAAAAAGGCAAAATCTAAAGTGTGTTCAAAAACTCCATCGAACAAAAGGGAGAAAAAAATAAATAAATACAAAGGCATCTTCAGAATCCCATAATACAGCAAAAATAGGGAAACACTCCTAAAATGTATTAAGACTTTAAAAATACCAACTTTAATATAACAGATAAATCCCAATAACTCAAAATGTTGTCAAGAGTCCTAACATTCTACTAGTATATATAGCTATAAGCGATTTTGATTCATTTATTTTAAGACAGCTATTATTATGTGTCATTCCATCTTTTCTTGAAGACCCCTTGTCAAAGGGGATCCTTGAATGATGAAGCTGGTGACAATCATCCCTCAGTTGCTTTTGAAGAATATTTCATACTGCCTTCAATAAAATCCAATCTTGGAAACTTGAGTTGGCTTTCAGGTCCAGGCTGAGCTGAGCAAAATTCTTCTTCTCTTTAAGTTCCCTTTAGTTACTGAATGTGTCAATGAACTGTCCTTTAAAACTCTCCAAGTGATTCAGCCCCGATTGTTAATGCTGAGCTGTTTTATACATTTGTCTGTTCATTGCAAAATTTCTGCATAGCAACAGTCCTGGATACAGACTATTCTACAACGTCAGATCACATGTACAACGTTACTGTCATTGCTAAAATTATCTTTGACTACCACTAGGTCTGTCTTCCTGTTTTTCTGCAGAGAGCGTCCTCTTTTTCTGAGAGTGCCTCTTCTTCTGAGAGTGCCTCTTCACTTAAGGTAACTTATTCCTGTTTTCTGCAGATAACTTCCTCTTTTTCCTCTTACTGGCCTGACCATCTGTTCAAACTTTCTCTTCTTGTGGTGACTTGACACATGACCATTAGGCTGTGAACTTTACCTTTTGACCATGGATTCTCTTCACGTTTTAGTCAGTAACATTCATTCATTTACTCTTAATCATTTAAAGTTAATTCACTTTCAATATACGCTTTCCATATGATCTCTTAATTTAAGCTCTTTAATGTCTTCAACATTGATTAAGTCTTAACTCATAGTATTTCACACTCTTAAAACATAGTACAAGACTTCACACACGGTTACATACTATTATATAGATTTGTTTCAGTAAATAAACCTTTCTTGCTTTTTCAGAACACATACTCAGAGATCTGTGGTTTGTACTGCTCTTAACCTTAACAGAATTTTGAATAAAGTATATGCCACTTACTGTATTCTGGTGTATTTTACAAACAGTTACAACATTTTTCGCTTAAAATACTCTGACTGCACGACAAACTGCTTCATGAGATCATCGTCTGTTTTATCAGTTTGGTTAAAGTTCAGATAACTCCTACAGTGATTCACATCAGATTGTTCACAAAAGCACAGGAGCTTATGCCTAGTGCAAAACGTTTAATTATATTTTTGTGTTTTATAATTAAATAAATAAATATAATAAAATTTGAACTTTTAGGGGCAGAGATTTTTTTGAGCAGAAGCAAAAATGTGAAGTGACAGCTCTGATGTGATATTAGGAAGCTTGTTAAAATTATAGTTTTATTTAGTTATGGTTTTACAGTCAATCTTTGTCAGGCGGGTTGAAAAATATGCAGTGTAATCTTCAAAATGCACAGATACGGCTGCGCACCTCCACCTGTCTGCTCCAGACCATGTAGCTGACATGCACCTAACAGAAACTGAAACTAACCACTTGTGTATGTTGACCTGCATCAAGAGTGAGTCATAGACTGATGTGGTAGAGAATCCTGTGATTTTTCAAAATAAAACTTTTTTCCCCTTCTGTGCGGTCCAGTACCCATTGACCCACGGATCGGTACAGGTCTGCGGCCCGGGGGTTGAGGACCACTGCTCTACTACACACACATTAATACAGCACTCTACTACATCTCTACAAAGATAATCTGAATCTGTAGAGACTAATTTTCGTCAGTTCAGAATAAAGGGACGAGACAGCCCCTGGTTTACTCCTGAGCTAGCTGACCTCCTGCACAGGAGAGATCATCTTTGGGCCGCAGCAAGAAAATCTGACTCAGACACTGACTGGTTGAGTTTTCAACAGATGAGGAATAAATGCACAACTGCTGTCAAAACAGCAAAACCCTAACAGATTCTAGAAAACCATCAAATCTCTCTCAGGCACCCCCCAATCATCTGACCTCCCATCACAACTTCTCATTAACTCTGTTCCTGTGTCAAATAAGCACGAGATCCTGAACTGTCTCAACAAACATTTTGTTGCTTCTGGTTCTTTATTTGACACAGTTACTAATGGAAAATCAGCCACTTCACTTAATAACCAAACTTCTACAAATCAAATCCCTCCTACAAGTCAATCCTCAGTTAATCACAGCTTCTCTTTTTCTCCATTCTCAGTCAGTGAGGTCAATAAACTGTTAAAAGATCTTGATCCTAAAAAATCTGCAGGTCCAGATGAACTTCCACCTTATTTCTTAAGGCTGGCTGCTCACATCATCACAGTCCCTGTGACCCACATCTTCAATCTCTCCATAAGACAAAACTCCATCCCAGACACTTGAAAAACAGCCTTTGTTCTTCCTTTGCTGAAGGGAGGTGACCCCCCCTCACTGAACAACTATCGACCAATCTATGAACTCTGCATTTTAGCCAAGGTTCTAGAAAATCTGATAAACTCTCAAATCAAAAATGACCTGGACTGATTTAACATCTTACCTCCACATCAATCTGGTTTCAGGAAACAACACAGCACAACCACTGCTTCACTGAAGGTTCATAATGATGTTGTTGAAGCACTGGATGCTAAGGATTATTGTGCTGCACTTTTCTTAGACCTGTCTAAAGCTTTTGACACTGTGGATCAGAACATCTTGTGTCATAAGCTCTCAGAAATCGGTTTCTCAGAACACACCATGGGTTGGTTCTCTATCTCTCAGATCGGAGGCAATGTGTTCAACATAATGGTACTTCCTCCAGTTTTTTAACAGTCAACAATGGTGTACCACAAAGCTCAGTCTTAGGACCTACCCTCTTTACAATCTACATACATAATGTAGATAAAAACATCCCTAATGCATCCATACATTTCTATGCTGATGACACAGTTGTTTATTGCCAAGCTAAAACAGTTGATAAGGCTTTCCAGCTTTTGAAATCTGCATTCAACATCATCCAGACTGATTTGTTTCACCTCAAACTTGTCCTAAATGCCGACAAAACCAAAGGGATGCTTTTTTCAAATAGGAAGTCGGTCCCAGCTGTTCTTCCTCCGATTTTATCCTCAAGTGGTGTCCCCATTGAGTTTGTTGATTCCTATAAATATTTGGGTATCTTGGTCGACTCACATCTCTCTTTTAAGCTCCATGTGGAAAACTTGGTAAAGAAACTGAAAGTTAAACTGGGTTTCTTTTTCAGAAACAAATCCTGTCTAACCCTGAATGCTAGAAAACACCTTGTATCTGTGACTTTCCTTCGCTCCATTGATTACGGTGACATTATTTACATGAACGCTCCTACAAGAACCCTGCAGATGTTGGATGCTGCAGATGTTGGATGCTGTCTATCATGGTGCACTAAGATTCATAACTGGCTGTGATTATCGTACCCACCACTGCACCCAGTATTCACTGGTTAACTGGTCACCATTAACTTCACACAGACTCTCCCACTGGTACATTTTCATCTTTAAATCACTTCCTGGTCTGCTGCCTTCATACATCTCCTCCTACATGTCTCTGCGTGAGTGCAGCTAAAGCGTGCGCTCTCAGGACATTATTACCTGCAGTGTTCCCTAAATGAGGACTGAACTAGACAAAAGGGCCTTCTCCTACTCCGCTCCCGTTTCCTGGAATACCTTACAAAAACAATTGAAGCTCTCGACCTTGACCTCTCTAAGTGGCTTTAAAATCTGTTGGACTCCTGGCAGGGACCAATGCAGACATGTTCCTGATTTTAGTTTTCTACATTCGCCTTAGAATCTAGCTGTTTTTGTTACTTTTTTAGTCATCTTATTTGTAAAAAAAAAAAAAAATCTGTATGCCTTTTTATAACTGTCTATTGTTGTCGCTGTTGTCCATTGTTGTCATCATTCTTTGTTGAAATCAGGTCTCTCTTGTAAATGAGTCCTACAGGCTCAATGGGATTTACCTGTAGAAATAAAGGTTGAATGAACTAATCAGAGCTTTAGATCACATTCATACACTGATGGGACACACATCATAGGTAATGAGGGGTTCAGTGTCTTGCCCAGGGGCACTTCAGCATGTTGCTGCTGGTGGATTTGAACAACCAACTCTCCCATTGGAGGACGACTGCTCTAACCACTCAGCCACAGCTGCCCCTTAACGGGCACGTTCCACATATTCTTTCCTGTTTCTGGTGCATTTTCATGGCAGAGTTACAGCACCACATAAAGGATTGGCATAGTTACTACAGATGTGGAAGAGTCTGCATTTCTGTGTGGATGAAAACATTTCTAGGAACAATGGTGTGCTGATAAAAATATTTTTTGAAATCATCCATTCAGCCATCATCTTTTCCCATGTCATAACATACAGTTATGACATCATGATGCATTAACACAGAAAAAAGACTTACCCAAGAAAATCAAAGTCGATGGAGGAGTACTTGGCTTGGATGAGCGCCCAGAAGCCCCAGAAAAAGTGAGAAGCCTTGAGAGACATCACATATCAGATATGGGAAAGCCACAGGGAACAGGTAGGAGAGAAGCTGTGTGTGTCATCTTAAACTTCCTCACCAGAGCAAACTTGTTGACCTGTACATAGAGTGTCTCCAGCTCTCGTGGGGTGACCTCCCCTGTTTTCTTGGTGAAGAGTTTGAATGCCTGCAGGTACTCTTTGAGCCAGTCCATCTGCATGTCCCGACTGGGATACAGCCCATAGTCCAGATCAGCCATGCCTGATTGTAAATAACAAGCACACACACATCCAGTGATCCATGACAAATCGATTATTTACATGAAAATTTCAAAGTAACTGCCAACCTGCAAATTCATTGAAGTGGTTGCCAATGTCGAAAGCCTGGTAGTTGTAGCTTGAGTACTCATAGTCAATAAAACGAACGTGACCTGAAAGGTTAAAACACATATTTGAATCATTACTGTATACCTGCTCACAATCTTTTTAACACCACCCCTACAACTCCCTCAAGTAGAAGCAGATAACCTTCAATGAGTTGACTACCATATTTTCTGGTTTATAATCTGCTACTTTTTTCACACGCTTTGAACCCCACGGCTTATACAATGCTGCGGCTAATTTATGTTTTCTTTTTTTTGATGGACTAATGAGCTTCCTGTCCGCAAAAACATTTAGCTTCATCACATTAGGGCGTTCACATAGCTGCCCAATACATGTCTCTCTTGGGGAGTGGGTCCTCGTGACTCAATGAGACTACCTGTATAAATAAAGGTTAAAAAAAAGATCTGACCAATGAAATTACAATCACAGGGAGAGGGGACCCCCCTCTTTCTGAGGGAGGATTCCTCTGTATGCACAGAGCATGTGAGGGGGGACTCACCTACATGCACAGAGCAACTTTTGCTCCACGGAGCAGGAGGAAAGCCTAAAGATAGCAATCAATGATTTCCTGGTAGGCTACTGTATTTTATTTTTAACCAGTCATGTTACCAGCACTGTTAAGAAAGAAAAAAAAAAACATTTACTGTATGTATTTGTGTATGTTACCGGTACGTAGTCTAGCCTTCTGTGGTTCATTGTGGTTGACTGCCGGTCACATGGCCTCAGGGAGGGATTATGTGTAAAATTTATGTTCATTGTTATTCATTCCGGTTAGCTGTTAAGCATTTTAGTGTTTAGCCAGGCATGGGCATACTACGGCCCATGGGCCATATACGGCCCGATGGGCTTTTTAATTGCCCCACTGAACTTGTCCAAATTATATACATGTATATTAACAAAAAAAAATGTGTTTAATAAGAAAAAAAACTAGTAGTGTAGTTTCACCTGTAGTACCCGGTTTCCCCAATGGATAGCGCACTACAGACACATTGGCCTTTATTGGAGGTAATGTTAAAGTGGAGAATAAGTAGTCTTCCAACAATTTTCAGACAGGTCACTTGGACAGTTTCTTTTTTTTTGTGCTGAGACGTTTCGCCTTCCATCCAGAAGGCTTCATTAGTTTGAGGATACACCAAACAAAACTGCTTCTCCCGCAACAGCTTACTCCAAAGTGGGAAAAAACATGTCAGGTCCAGCCCAAAGAAGGTTGGATTAATGCAGGTGGCATGATCTTTTGGAAGTGTCAGTCAAAACCTCGCCCTATAAATACAGATGATTCTGTGAGACTGGGGCTGTTGGACCACCGGATCGTGTGGATTACAAGACAAGTTTTTGGACGGTTCCAGCTGAAGGAGAACTGGGGCAAATCCGATGGAATAGGCTTCGTTTGAAGTCATTTTCTTCCTCAGCCCTGATTATATGCTTGAACCCTTTTCTTCAAATTCAGACCAGCTGCAGGACCAGAAACGGCCCGCATTCAAGTGTGAATGGGGAAATTTGCTTCTTGCTGAACTGGAATTTCGAGGATTCCACAAAAAATGCGATGGTAAGGAGACGTTTCACCAATATTGACCTTAATAAAAATTTATTTCAAATTAGAGCGGTAGCCTACAAATAGGCAGGCAGAAAGATCAATTACATTTTAAATTTGATTGCTTGGAGTTGTGAAAGATTTGTCATTGTGGTGAGAGATAATATATTGGGGCAAGTAGAGAGTGTGGGTAAATTGTGGAGGTTTTGGAGCGCTTGAGTGAGTCAGGACGACCGAATAACTCACAAAGCGCAGCCTGCCAGAAGGAAAATACCTGGGGTTGAACGGAGCAAACCTAGAGAACTGCTTTGCCCAGGAAGGATCAACATCTGGAATATAACTAAACTCTGAGTATTAACCATTATGTATCCTCTTTGTAATCAAATGTAATCATTGTTGGACTGTGCATACCGCTGTTTCCCCTGCAAAATCATTGATTAAAGCAAAGCAAAACGTAAAATTCTGGATTCTTATTTCAACACCCCTTTGTTCATGGAAGTGGAAGACTTGGTTCAGAGAAACAACAGAAGCACGGGAGGTTTTAAAAAGTTTCGTAGCTTTGATTATAAAACAACATCCAAGAATCTTATACCTAGACTCTAAACAAAGCCAGATCGGATAACAATTGCAACGCTAAATCAGGAGATGAGCTACCGTTAACTTGCGCTTCCTCGTCTGCCAAACGTGCCCACTCCTGCTGCTAGGTCGAGCGAGGCACGAGGTGAGACTTTGGGTGTGGTACAAGGATCGTAGATAGTTAACAGTCTGGGTGAATCATCTCAACACAGCCTTACACTAAAACTGTCCTAGGAAACAGCTGCGGGTAACACCTGAGCCATAGGATTAGTTTTGAGACCCGTTGGAGGAGAAGGCTGCAGTGAGGGCGTAGCACATGTCTACCTCACTTGGGTAAGCGAAATACAAGGAAATAAGATGTTCACTGTCTTTGTGAGATTATGTAGGTTGGTGCTTATTATGCGTCATGTACTCTGTAAAGACAGGACAGCTAAAGTGTGCCTGATTGATTGGACAGAATGGGGGATAAGAGGTACTTCAGAGAGTCTGTAAGGTGTTTGATTGGATAGAATTTGAAAACAGGAAGTGTCACGGGGGTATTTGTTGATTATTCATTGGAGGAAAATGGGAGTGGAAGAAAACGTAGTCTGAAAGGGTGGCAACAGACCTGACACACGTCAGAATTGTACAGGGGGACCCTGAATGCAAGGTAATATACACAATTCTCTCTTCTTCAGGCATTTTGGAGTCTGTAAAAAAAAGATGTTGTTAATTCTGACATTAGTGTGTTCCTTCCGTGCAAACAACCCGGGGAGGATAGAAGAGGTGGCTTCATGTTTTCCTCAACAAGTATAAAAATCAGCCACCAGATGGTGTTTCACAGACTATGGTTTAGTGGTTGTCATAAGTCTTCATAATGCTTCGCTGTCTGACTCATGGTTAAAACCATTCAACCTACAGAATTAACACAAGAACTATCTAAGCATAATCACTGTGCCAAACAGTGCCAAAGACTTGCATAACCAAAATTATTTTAAAATTATATACTGGTCAATTTTATAAAAAAGTTTTATCGAAGTCATGTAACCAGGAGTCACATAGTACCCGTAAAATATGGTAAATATTCATTAAATTAGTACCACTGATTTTTATTGTCAAACACTTTTTGGTAACAGCTGCTGTTTTTTATTTATTTTCTAAATAAATTTGACGTGATTTCTGCTCAGCAGAGCCCGAAGGAGGTAGAAGGGGGAAGAGCCCCTCCCGTTCGTTGTCTCCTTCGCTCCGTTTCATGTGATGTGAGCTTAAATGAGATACTGGTATTTAAACATATTTAATGTACACATAAATCTGTCACACAGAAAGAAAAAAACGTTTCAAAATATGTACCAGACTTAGGGTAGCACGATGGCGCAACTGGTAGAGCTGCTGCCTCTCAGCGTGCAGGTCCCTGGCTCAAATCCCGGTCTGGGGGCCTTTCAGGGTGGAGTTTGCATGTTCTCTCCATGCATGCGTGGGTTTTCTCCGGGTTCTCCGGTTTCCTCCCACAGACCAAAAACATGCGTGTTAGGCTGATTGGTGACTTTAAATTGTCCCTAGGTGTGAGTGAGAGAGTGAATGGTTGTTTGTCTC